ACTTTTCCATATTCGCTTGCATTTTCTCCCAGTCTGTTTCATTCTCTTGCGCTTTTCACTTCCCCTCTTTCTTTTTCTCTTTCCCTCTCTGGTATACTCTAACCCCACTCTCCAGCGATGTACATGTGTATCTATCCATCAGTAGAAACCGCATTAGAGGAGAAAAAACCGCTAATCCCGATGGGCGAGCGGTGACAGACAAAATGGAGGTCCCATGATTTCAGCTTCGATTTTTCTCTTTAACTGAGATATTATATTAGTTATCTGGAATAATATACGGTTGTGTTTGAGCGGAAGGGGTATTTCTTAGAAATATATTAGGTTTTACAATATAGTTAGCAGATTTTAGTTATTTTTATCAGATAACGTTTAAAACCAAAATGGCGTTGCGACCCAAGTCGGCGGAAAATAAAAGTATTTGTTACGAAATCCTTTGATTAATTAGCATTTCTCTTGTCCCTACTTCATAAATACTGTGACGATTGCATGTATATTTTCACTTTTTCTTTTGATATTTGAATATACACGTAAAAGGTCTCAACTAGAATTCATATAGAAAAAAAATATATATATATTTATATGTCAGTGAGATTCATATAATTCCGAAGATATTTATCATTTTTCTGTTTGGAGTAATTCCCCATTCCAAGAAATTTCTCACAACTCTTAAACTACCGATCGATAAATGGTAACAACTGCAGATTAACTTTTTTTTTTCTTCTTCTTCTTTTTGTCAGAATAGACAGTATGCTGTTTATTTTATCTGTTTATCTTTAATTGGCCAAAGCAATTAATAGATTGAAAATAAATCAATCTCCTGATTTATTGTCCAGCTACGCTAATCTATTTTGATTTGCCAATGTCATTCTCTCTCTTTCCCTTTTCTTTTAATTTTCTTCCTTTATTCTTTCCTCCTCTCAATATTTCTGGCATTCGGTCATTTCATATCATTCTATTATATTTTCTCCTATTCCCTCTTACGGCACTTATCTTTATTATCACTATTATCACGAGTAGATAGGTGTGTGTGTGTGTGAGTTTGTGTGTGTGTGTGTATGTGTGTGTGTGTGTGTGTGTGTGTGTGTGTGTATCTATCTATCTATCTATCTATCTCTATATATATATGTATATATATATATATATATATATATATGTGTGTGTGTGTGTGTGTGTGTGTGTGTGTATACATATACATACACGCACACACGCAATCAAGAGATCTTGATTATAAAGAGCGCGCCTGAGAATTTGAGGAGGTTAATATATACTGATTACTGATTACTGATTGTTTATCTACCGATATCACTGTTCAGTGAAAAGCCAGTCGTACTAGAAAAGCTAATGGCTCGCGCAGCTCTGTGACATCTTGATCAGTGCTTTCCTTTTCTTTTTCTTAATCCGTAGATTATTAGATTCTCTCTCTGATCCATTGCCTCGACCTATATCGGACCACAATACTACCACAAATGAGGATAAGATATTAGGTCATATGAGAATAACCGAAACATTATTCTACTGGGGACTGACATCTACGAATGAGCTAACAACGGTAGATGGATTCCTCTCACCCAAGGTACAGATAACGAGGTAGCTCCACTTCTATGTAGCCTTTTAAACCCAGAAGTGAAATTGACTTCTTACCAAGAGTATTCTGACGGCTTTTAACGATAAGGAGTTCTTACTTGTCAAAAATAAAGAGGGGTACATATAAGAAAAATAACAATACCGAGCAAATAATATAAAGAATTATGTATCTACCTATATCTGATAACTCATAGCGCACTCTCATTGGCTTAAAGTGACGTCATTAACTTTTTTACCCCAGTAATTTGTGCGATATTTTATGGTAAGTATAATTTCAGTACATATTCTTTGAAAATGTTTCAGTAATAAGAATGATAAGAACAAAATTATCGAAAACGAAACCAACCCCCATGTTCTCGATTCCGATAGCAGGGAAGGGCATTTAAGGCTCCTGGGATACTGTGGGGTAAAATGTGAATATCATACACTGAATAAGGCACTATAATGATAATACACATAAAATTATTCATTCTAATGCCTAAGGTTCTGTTCACCCTGCGCCCTCCGCCCCCTCCCCCACACTCACACTCACACATACATACACACATATTAATATATATATTTATGCAACAGACACACGAACACATATGTTTTCATAAAAAAACACTCACAAATAAACACACTCATGCATGTACATATGCACACACACACACACACACACATGCACACACACACACACACATGCATAAACACACACACACACATACATACAAACATACACACACATTCATACATACACTTATGCAACAGACACACGAACACACACATACATACATAAATAGATACATACATACATACATGCATATGTACATATACATACATACATGAATACATACATACACTTATGCGCACAAACACACACACGTACATATGCATACATACATCACACACACACATGCATACATATATTACACACACATACATACATACACACGCACACATATGCAAACACACACATACACATATACAAATAAACACATATACGCACGCACACGCATATGCACACACTCATACACACCCACACACGAACAAACACACACACACACACAAACACACATGCACACACACACCCACCCACACACTTAAGCACTCAAACATACACACACATACATACATACATCACACACATACATGCATACATACATAACACACACACATACACATACACACACGCACACACACACACACACTTATGCACACACCCACATACAAACAAATACACACACACACACACAATGCACTCACATGCATCAACTAAGGCAAAAAAGTTATTTACGGGATTAGAATACCCTGAGCAGAACCTCGGCTGCAGCAGCGAAAAGATGACAGACACAACTGCGACTCTCCCGGCGAAGATGCTGCTCAGCGAAGAAGAAATCCAGAAATTGGTGTCTGAGGGAACGCTCCTGGGCTATGGCTCTGCCGGTAAGGCCTTCAGGACGCGCTATTAGGGCAAAGACGCCGTGGCCAAGGTGGCCCATACGAAGAAGCGCGCCCGCCTGTTTGAGTGGGAAGTGAGGACCTTGTTGGCCCTGAATGGCCTCGGAGGAACGCCCCGAGTCCTGGCAGTGTGCGAGGACTATCTGGGATTCCTCATGCAATTCTGTCCGGGAAAAACTCTCAAGGACATGCTCGAGGAGAAGGCCCCCGTGAGCACCATTCTCCGGGGGATCTACGACCTGGCGCTGAAGGTCCAGGACATCCACCTGGCAGGGTTCGCCCACAACGACATCAAGTCGGACAACGTGATCCTGGAGACGAGCGCCGACGGCCTCGAGGTCACGGCGCGGGTGATCGACCTCGGCCTGTCCACGCGGCTCGGCCTGCGTCCCGGCTTCCAAGGGGACCCGGGGTTCCTGCGCCACATGGCCCCCGAGCTCCTGCAGATGGGCGCGGCCAGCGTGGAGTCGGACTTGTACTCCTTCGGGAACATCCTGAGGTCCGTCATGGAGCAATATTCGGAGGCCTTTCCCGAGGAATGCCAGTTGAGGTTCATGGTCTGGAACCTGACCTGCTCTCAGCCGGAATGGCGCCCGCCTTTCCAGATGTTCCTGGACGTTCTGGCCAACAGTCTCGACGTCCACGCTTGATTAGGAAGGGCATCCAGTCAGGCAAAGGTGCTCACACCAAAAAAAAAAAAATATATATACATATACATATGTGTGTGTGTGTGTATTTATATAAATATATATATGTATATCTATATCTATCTATATATAAATATATATGTATATTTGTATATATATATGGACACACACACACACACACACACACACACACACACACACACACACACACACACACATATATATATATATATATATATATATATATATATATATATATATATATATATATATGTATATAAACGAAGTGTCTACCAATCTCTCGAGAGAGGGAAAAGTGAAATCTATGGATGACATCCTGGACAGACATTGATTGACATGTTTTTAAGCTGATTAATTGATCACCTGACAAACGTATTGGTAGGTCAGTTTTTACAATATATATGGTAGATATAGATGACTTACCCCATTTCCAAACTCTAGGCAAAAAGTGTGTTTTACTTTTCATATCTAGGGCTGGACAAACTGGATATTTTCAGATATACTGCATCTAGATTTTTTTGAGCAGTTATGAGGTCTATTTAGGAATATGTATTTTATTCACACAGTTTATTGATACTTAAAATATAACTGTATTATTCCATTTTAGTTGGTAGTGAGTGAAACAAATTAATGATTATTGTTAGGCTTAGAGACTGATGTTGGTGATGCTGCTGAAAAATTTATCCATGTATGCTTACATGTTTTTCTAAAGTGATGTTAATCAATAAATCTTACTTATGATAATTTTGGAGATAGTCTAATAGTACTGTTAATGGGAACTAGATAGTCGAGGTTAATAAAGATAACACTCACGTCGATAAAAATCTAGTTAAGTAAACTCATAGACAAGCTAGTCATAATGTCACGTGTATCACTATGGTAACAAACATAGTCCTGATTCTAAAACGGCATCGAGGTTAGTTTTATACCTTATTAAACAAGTCATAAAACATACAAGGAAATAGATATATAAATTTAAAGGCAGAGCAGAGCTGTGTATTTTATAGGTAATTGCGAAGTTTAATACGTTTGTTCTTTATTCTCGTGAGACAACTTTATTGCGTCATTAATAATCCACGCAGGAGAGTCTGCGGGATGTCGGTTCCAAGAAATTAAACATGCATATGTCACACACACACACCCGCACACGCACACACACACACACACACACACACACACACACACACACACACACACACACACACACACACACACACACATATATATATATATATATATATATATATATATATATATATATATATAAATATATATATGTATATATATATACAGAGAGAGAGAGAGAGA